TTTTAAAATAATACAACTGCTGTTTGGCTTTGAGAAGAAGTGATTCCAGAATTTTCAGAATAGAAATAGTCTATTCTTTATTTAACTTTATTTATTTAACTTTATTTAACTGGTCATTTGTGGATAACTATGTTGCTTGGTTATAATTTATTAGATCTTTATGATTGATTTTAATTTAATAAAAATATTGGCTATTATAAAGTTAAAATTGAAATTTTGTTATAGTTAGTAATTTTCCTTAGCTTCATATTGTCTTCATTTTAATATCGCATAATTTGAGTTTTTTTTAAGTGAGAAGAGAATCTTAGTAGGTACAAAAACCCTGAATTTAAATTAAAACTATGTTCTCTTCTTAGACTCAAGAAAGAGCTGGATAAAGGGTAAACAACAGCCGACCAGATGATGAGGAGAAATACATGTAAAATAATCACTTTTCTATAATTATATAAAGCCTCCAAAGTTTCAGCCATAGGAAACCCTCCAGGAAAAGAGAAACAGCAGTTAAAGTAATCCTGCTCCCTCTTCTAAATTTCATTTTCCTTTTATAGTCTCAACCCAATTATCCAGCCAGTGTTCTTTCAAATATTTATTGAACCCAACCCACCCACCAGACAATCTAGGGATACAATCATGAGTTGAATTGACAGTCAAGGTCTACCCTTGTGTACATTTTCGTGCTCGGTAGTGAAAAAAGAAAATCAAGCCCTTACAATGAAGTGAAAAGCTGTAAGTTAGAAGAAGTAGAGGGTTCAATGGAAATGCTAATAGAACCTCTCTGAGCAACATTGATGTGTTCCTGGAAATTGCGGACATTTAGGTGAAACAGTATAACGAAATCAGTTCTTCCAATATTATCACTTCTGTTCAGTGGGGACCCAGATATTTTTTCCCTCATCAAATTTATAAGGATGTTGTTTGAGGACCTGATCTGCTTATCACGGTATCTAGGTGGGGAGGGAGACTGGGGTGGAAAGAACAGACAAGGCGTAGAAGGGAAGGCCTTTTGTTGCGTTGTGATTTCACACACACAAAGGAAAAAAAAACATAAAACAAAACAAAAAGCAAAAACCTCCCTGTGCAAAGGTCTGAAGGCAAGGTGTTCACACTGCATGTGTCTCTGGCTACAGCCTAAAGGCGTGGCTGAGTGATATGAGATTCTTCAGATCTGAAAAGTGCCAAAGTGCCACCTCCCACCTAGATGGAGAGTGTTCTCTTAAAACTCAAACTGGAGAGATAATCCAGGGACACACTCCCATCAATATCAATACCAGTCACCACTTGGTTCCCACAAGCCACTGAGGATGACCCCAACCCACAGATCTGGGAGCAGCAACAGTAGATGTGCCCCCCCCAAAAGAGGCTCAAGTCAACCACAAAGGAAAAAACACATTATGATTTGTTGGGGGCAAGGGGGCGGGAAACCATGTAACAACAACAACAGCTAACAATGTGATGAGCAAACACAGGGGGCTGCATGGGACACCTGCAGTGAGAGCAAGCAAGGAGGCAGACAATGGTCAGATGCAGACTGCAGACATCCTCACAGTATGGGTCAGCAGAAAGGGTCTGGATACTTTGTGTGTATGTGTGCGTGTGTGTGTGTGTGTGTGGGGGGGGGTCGGTGAGGGGTGTGGTGGGGGGTGGGACACTGCTCCCTTGGGGTGCTCAGGGTCCCTGGGGGCCACTCTTGGGTGACTCTCAGCCCTCTGGTCTTGCTGGTTCATTGTACTCCTTCAGCCCTGCACTATCATGAGCAAACAGGCTCAGCCCAGCCCTAATGGGCACGGGAGCTATCTGACAACTTCCAGGGTACAGTGTGAGATGCTGCGGGAACCCTGAAGGGCTGTTTGCGGGGTGGGGGGATGATGGAATAAAACTCTGCCCTGCTTCCTGGCTCCCAGTGACTTCCACCCAAACCAGGAAACAGCGTTAGGCCCATGGGGGTGGGGCCTAGTAGGAATCTTGGACGGCTTGACTCAACTCTATTAATACTGCTCTGAGAGATGGTTCCAGCAACGCCTATTAATCGACTTGAGGTGGGGCCTCTCCACCCAGCCTAGGATTTTTTTTTTTGGTCTCCTTATCTGCTTATCACGGTATCTAGGTGGGGAGGGAGACTGGGGTGGAAAGAACAGACAAGGCGTAGAAGGGAAGGCCTTTTGTTGCGTTGTGATTTCACACACACAAAGGAAAAAAAAACATAAAACAAAACAAAAATCCCCAGTGTCTTCGTAAATAAGGGTAGGCTTTTAAAGACAATTTAGGGCTCTGTCTCCATTGCCACCCCTTTCTATGGGTTGATCATTAAACCATTATGGTGTATCTAACTTGGTGAGAGTCCCAGGGCACGACCCTTTAAACTGTACCACTGGAACAGGTGTATTTCTTGGCATGGGATTCCTGTGGACACGGCCGATAGATGGGGCAGAATTTAAAAAGAGCAGAAATCTTTAGCCCCTGACCTTTTGTAGCCTGGCAGAGAGCATTTATTTATTTTCCAGGCCCAGAAGGCTAGTCCAGTGGGGCAAGTTTAGATGCAGTGGCATCTAACAATGTGATGAGCAGACACAGAATTCTGAAGAATTCTGAGTTCAGAAAGAGCTGCTCTGAACCCACAAACTGTCCCGCCAACCTCAGGCTGTGGCAAGACAAGTGAAAGGAAAAAAGACGAAGCATTTTTAAAAGCACTTGGCACTCACATTTTTTCCTCCACTCCTGTGACCTTGCTTCTGAGGCACCAGCTACCATCCTAGCTGGAGGTGTCTGGTCAGCCATCTACCAAGAGTGACTTCATCACCTGGCTGAGGACGGCCCTCTCTTCCCATCTACCATAACCCTCTGATCAGGATCTAGTCTCTCTCCTCTTCCTCCCCACTTCCTGCTACACAGTCTCTCCAACATTCGTTTCACTTAGATGGATCAGCTGCATCCCCCAGGCCGGCCGAGATGAGCTCCCTCATCTCTCTGGCCTTCATATTCACAGACGAGTTCAGGGCCTCCATCATGCCTTTGGACGACACTGGGGAGGTGAGGATTGTGATCCGTTAGGCGGCCGAGAGGCCGAGGTTCAAAGAGATCCAGTAATTGAACCTACCCTAAGCTTTGAGCCCAGATCCGCATTTTCTAAGCAGACTTCTGTGGATTCTACAGAGGTTGTCTCTCTGCAAATGTTGCCAAAGACACATGACTAGAGAGACATGGGTTTCACAGCCGTATACCCACTCATCCATTTCTAACTTTGTGTTCTTTCACACATACTTTAAGTTGTCTATGTGCGAAAGTAAAGAGGGAGTGTGGTGATGGCGGCAGCATTTTCTCAGAATGCCTTTTCCGCCCAGGAACTGTTCCAATCACCTTTCGTGCTATGTACCATTTGTAATTTACCTAGTGCCTAAATCAGGGATCCATAGTAAAAGTGAAACTGCTTTAATAGTAAAAACAAACAAACAAACTGTCTCTTCTGACAGTGAAAATGAAAGTCCAAATGGAAGGTTTTGTTATTCTTAGGCTGCTGGTCTTAAAGAAAATTATTTCCTCCTGTCTTCAGAGAAAGATCTCCTGAAGGTCACCTGTACCAAGCTAGGGTTTCTGTTCTAGGAACTTTGCAAAGGGGAACTTCCGGGGCTGATAAAAATGTGGAGCCAGACACTGATTTGTATTCAATACCTTAGTTCCCCTTCACCAGATTGTATGTTGGGACTTTAAGGAATTACTGTGCAATTATTCAATACAACCACAAATCCACTGCTATTTAGTCATCCATTGGGTGATATCCCCAACCCCCTCAGTAGATCACTTCAGGTATTTGGAGGAATTCTGAGATGACAGCATTACAAAATCCCCCCTCAACCCCCCCCCCCAAACAATGTAGTGTGCCTCCACAATGAGGCACCTGAAGTTAGTTTCATTCCATTTTTCACCTATGTTGATGATTCAAAGTCTCCACTTCTTTTTGAAAACTGTACACTAGGTCTTATCGTTTTCAAAGTTCCTTGAGATGAGTCAATATTAGGATGGAAAAGACCCACTTTCATCATTCTAAAATATGAGACATTATTGTTTTAACTTAGATTAGAATAAGGTGCACTGATAACTGAATTACGTATACTTAGCGATAGGGATAACTTTATTAAAAGATATGGGCACAAAACTTATTTACTCAGGGCAGGGCATTTGATTAAACGTTTGTCCATAGACTTGCCTGAATAATTTTGGGGGGGGGGGGAGACAGGGGAAGGGGGCGTTTGAGAAACAAAAATCAAGTGTCAAAAAAAAAAACAAGTCTGAAGGAGGCCATGAGGGTAGAGGGCAGTTTTTAAATCACCGCCCCCAACCCCAGTTCCAGAATCCTTGGCCTCCTCGCAGAAAACGGATCCGCCCACAGAGAAGGCTGCAACCGTTTATTAGCCCAGAAGCTGGGCTCTCTTCTAATTAGCCGCGGAGAAAGTGAAATCCGGACTTTCCAAGGGGGCTCCTCCGCCCGGTGATCTGTGCATCTCACCTGGCCTTTCAGTTACAAATCCAGCTCCTCCGGGAGCCGTGTGAAAAAGCAAGAACAATCAATAAGAGAGAAAAAGAAAATTCCTCCCTGCTATAAATCAGCCACGTGGAGCTGCTGCGGCTGCAGCATCTGGAGACCCGACTTCCTGGTTTGCTTCCTGCAAGCCTGGGCGGGGGAGCTGAGGGTGTGCAAAAGGGACCGAGGTGGGGGGTACTTGCAGCGGTGGGCGGGGGGTAGGAGGGGATAGAAACGCCGGCAGTGCTCGGGCTGGCTCAGGAGCCACCCCCCCCCCCCCGCCCCCCGTGCCCCAGGCCAAGTTTGAGCCACGGGAGACTCTCGGGGGTGGCGGGGCCGAGCCGAGGGGACCGACCTGGCAAAGTGTTAAGTTAGTTTTTTTTTTTTTTATTGGGGGGGTGGTGTAAAGGGCACAGAGGAGCAGGCAGGGGTGCAGAGAGCCGAGGGGACCGCGGCCCCGGGCCGGAGGCGGGCAGGGCGAGGGAGGGGTGCGGGAGGAGGGGGCGGCGGGAGGGGCGCAGGGCAGGGTCGCGGGGAGTTCCGGAGCGGGCGGGGTGGGGGAGGGCGGCGGCGAGCGGGCGCGGGGAGGGAGGGAGGAGGCCGCGCGGCGGCGGCGGCTGCGCCGGGCTCCGGGTCGCTGTGGGCGCCGCGGGAAGATGCGGCTGAAGCTCGGCTTCCTGGTGCGCAGTTTGCTGCTGCTGGGCGGCTTCCTGGGGCTGCTGGTGCTCTGGTCGTCGCTGTCGCTGCGGCCCGACGAGCCGAGCCCGCGGAGCCGGATGAGGGTGAGTGACCCGCCCGGCGCCCCCCGGCAACTTGTGCGGGTGTCGGGCGCGGACGGGGCGGAGGGGGGGCCGCGGCCGCTCCGCAGGTGGCGCGGGTGCAGATCCTGCCGGCCGGGGGCGCCGGACCCCCCAAGCCCCCCCGGGTGTGGGGGACCCCCAGCCGGCGCCCGGCCCGCCCCCTCGCCGCGCTTGGACCCCCGCGCCGCGGCCGCCGGCCGAGCTCCGCGCCCCGACTGGCCGGGCGGAGCGGGGCGCGGCGCGGGGGGGTCCCCCGGGCTGGGGGGCGCGGGGCCGGCGGGGGGGAATCGGGGGCGGCTCCTCGGCGGCGGCGGCGGCGGCGACCCCCGGGGGCGGCGGGCCGGGTCCGGGCTGCGGCCTGCGGCGCGGGCAGGCCCGGGAGGCGCCGAGATGCCGCCGGACCCCCCCGGGCGCCCCGCGCAGGCCCCTCGGCGGCCCCCGGGCACCGGCGCGGCCCCGCCTCCGGCTCGGCCGGGGAAGGAAGCGCCGCCCCACGCTCGGCTTGCCGGCCCCGGAGTCGGGGTGCGGGGGGGCGGCCGAGGCCTGGCCCCGGCCCAGGAGGCGGGCGGGGGTCGGGGCTGGGGAGCCGCGCCCCACTCCGCCTGCCGCTCGTGGGGGGAGCCCCGCAACCCCGGGGCTGCGGCACGGCTGCTCGGGCCGGGAAACTAACTTGTGCTGCCGCCCCGGGCTCCGAGCGACGCCCAGGGGCGGGCACGGCGTGGGGGAAGGACCCCCCTCCCTACTCGGGGGGCAGCGGTGACAGCCTTCGGGGGGCTTCTTGGAACGATTCCGAGCCGCCCCCCGGAAAAGGGGTACCCCCCACACTCTGGGCACCGTGGCGGCGTCACGGGCCCAGCGGGTGGGCGGGTGAGCGAGCCTCCCCCCACCCCGCGCTCCAGCTGCTGCACCCCGCCCCCAGCTCCGGGGCTCGACCCGGCCCCCGGGTCAGCCGCCCCGGGTGCAGGGGAGTCACAGGGAGCCCTCAGATCGGGGTGGGAGGCGCCTTCTGCACGGAAACCCTCGGCGCGGCATCTGCGTGATCTCTCCTCCCCTGTGGACTTGCAAAGTTTGGCGTCTGGAAGTTGGGCGAGGTTTGCTCGCAGCATCTCTCCCGTCGCCTCCCGTTGGGTGCTCGCCTCGCGGCCGGCGACGTTGGCCTAAGACTTCAGACCAGGTGCATTGGGATCCTGTCCTGCCGCTGGCTGGACGCTCCTCTTAACCAGCCACCGATTTGGAAAGCGCCATGGTCCTTCTGCTTTTGGTGGAGTTGGGATTTGACGTCCCTCGGCTCTCGGTGATGGGGGGACCTGTGCCTGGTGTTTGCCTTCCTAGTGATCCTTTGCCTTCGTGTGCTAGCTACTGGTGTGTTCCATACACCGTGCGCGGACAGCTAGCAATTCACAAATTCCATTTTCTGAAAGAGAAATGGAAGGAAAGACTGGGCAAAAATTGCCGCTCCCAGAATGCCCGGTGGTTGAAACAGGTCCTTTAAAAAGGTGATAGAACATCCATTCATTATCCCACTTCTCCCCCCACCCCTACCCCCATCGCTTTTGAAATATTTGACTAGTGCTGATATGTACCAAGGCCTAGAGATAGCTTGGTCACCTGTAAGTACAAACCTCGTGTTCATGTGACACTGTCTTGATTCCTCCACTTCTCGTTAGTTTGTCAGTGGATCTAGTGGCATTTCATCTGCCAAACACTAAAACTGACATTCCAAGATTTTCTAACATAATACCAAAAGAAATGTTTGGATACCCGGCCACCCTTAGCTCTGTGACAAAGAGTAACTAAGCAGTTTAGGGCATAGCTTATCAATCCTATGTGCACAGATGGGAACTGTTGACTTTAATAAAACCCCCCCTGAGTTTCTGAGGTGCCACACTTGAAGGATGGCTCCGTGAAAGAAGATTCTTCTGGCCAGGACTGATTAACTCCAGAGGACCCCTTTCCCTTTTGGTTCTTTTGCCGATGATTGCAGATAGTAGTACCAGTCCTCACCCCTGCTTGGCTCTGAATGCAGACCTTCACAGGACCCTTGGTCCCAGAATGGCGTCAGATGGGTTAGAATAATCCAGCTTAGCAAATAAAGGTTCTGCCTCCACCATGGCAAACTGAACTATATTCCTGGTTCCACTCTGTGGCCACCTGTCCCTTCTTATCTTGTACGTTGAAGTTTCCAGATAGGAAAGCTTTACAAGGTGATTTTTTTTTTTAAACCTGGATTGCTTCCATGTTTAAGCTGTGTGCAACTGTGAAAGATTTCAGTGCAAAATCACATTCCCCATCAGCAAAACTAATATGGTGTCTGGTCTCCTGCTTTCTCTGAGGCAAAAAAATAAAGAAAGGAAAGAGGGAAAGGAAGAGAGAGCGAGAGAAAGGAAGGAAAGAAAAAGAAAGAGGGAGGAAGGAAGGAAGGAAGGAAGGAAGTCTTACTGTTCAGTCATATGCTGCATTTGATCTGCTTTATTTCCTCAACATTTTTGAGCAGTTTCTATATGTGGTGATTGTTAGAGAAACACTCCTTACCCCCAACCCCATGGGTCTGGGAGTCTAGTGAAAAAACAGCCCCATTCCCTCCTCCCACCCCCCCCCCCCACAAAAAAAGAGGGTTGCTCTTTGAGCCCATGTTCTCTCTCAAACACATATCTCACTTGCTTGTCTCTGGTTTCTTGCTTGCTGGTTTCCACTCCGGAGAACCTATGTTCTCTCTCTCCCAAATATGCATTTCTCTTTCTCTCTCCTCACATCTTTCTAAATAAGTTTCAGTAAAAACTACCGTGCTTCTCAGTCCTTCTCTCCCTTCCTCTCCCCCCACCACACACACAGCATACCAATCAAGGTTCTACAAATCCATAAATAGAAAATGTGCTATTTGCTGTGGAGAAAAATAGTAGGGAGTAAAGAAAAGGAAGAGCTTGGCCACAGTTGCCCTACCTGAAATGACTGACATTGAACTCTCAGACTCTGAAGGGAAGTAATTGTTGATCTGGGCTTGGGACGGGGCACTCCTGGGCTGGAGAAGCATATGCCAAGGCCCTGGGTATCTTGGTCACCTGAAGAAAACCAAGAGTGGTAGAAGCAGAATGGTCCTGCAAAGGTGGCGAGGGATCTTGTGGAGCATGCCAAGGTCTTTGATCAGTGAGAAGCCACTCGAGGATTTTTAAGGCTTGAGAGAGGTCAGATCAGATTTGCTTTGAAAAGACCACTTCTTGGAGCAGGGCTTAAAGATTTTCTACTCTTGACCCCTTTTGACCAAAGAAAATTTTATGTAATCAGGGAATATGGTGTATGAAATAGGTATACAACTTAAATATTTTAAATATTTTACTGATGATCAGAAAACATTTATTTTAAAAGATTTTTTTTTAACGTATGGGATTATATGGCATCGTGAACCACAGTTTTCAGAAGCTAGAATTTAAAGCAGGAGTAGATGAGAGTCCTGTTGGAGCTTATGAATAGTTCAGATGTGATATGTTGGATTACTGTGGAGGGAAAGTAGGGAAAAATGTTAAAGGATTCAAGAGCTAATAAAGACTTAAAAGGCTTCCGGACTAGGTGAGTGGATGAGGGGCAAAGGAGAATGTGTTAGGAGTTTTAGAAGATTTAGGAGTTGGGAGTTTTGGCAGATTCTTATAGGGATACATGGTTGGTAGTTCTGAAGACAGAATTTATATATCACGTTGTACTTTAGGATCATGGGAAGTCTTTTTTTTTTAAGGCCCTATCCACAGGATGTGATTAGGTCAGCATTTATCGAGACCATCTGTTTAGCACTTGGAAACTGTAGAAAGTTCTGATGGTTAAATAAATGATAGTATCTCTCAAATCCCTGGTCTTAGCCTTGAGTGTTTAAAGTTAAACCAGTAGTCTCTGAAAATAAAAATCTAATGGGAATGTTGAAAGCTCTGCGTGCCCGTTTCAATCCGTTCCCGAGTGGCGAGGCGCTGCCTATAAACTGATGATTCTTCATGTGTGCACGTGCTGCCTTGGTCAGACCACTGAATGCCTTGGTAGATTCCGGGCATACATTGCAGGATCAGCTCAAGAACCACGCCTGAACAGAGATATTTTACCAGGCAAATAAGCTAAGACCAGCCAACAGGAAAGTCACTTAAATGAGGCCAAAGGACTGAATTGATTACCCAGTGAGAATCAAGGTCCACTTTACCAAAACCATTTGGTGGCTGTAGTGATTGGTTGTAACCTGGACAGTTCTGCCTGTGACCATGAGGTTTTATTTCAAGTGAAGTTCCAGATGCACTCCTAGGGATGAAGCTTTCACTTAGCGGGAAAAAACAAAACATCAGTAGTTTAAGGTTCCATTGCAGCACCAGGGATTGAACCCGGGGCCTCACATACTCAAGGTGCTATACCTCTGGGCTGCCTGATGCTTCCAGTGGCTGCACTTGTCCTGGTTCCCTAGACTGAGTGCTGCAGTATTGCTGTTCTCTTCTGCTGTCCACCCCTCCCTCTCATCCATCCTTCTCCAGGTTCAAGAAATGTGGGCTCTCTAGAATCCTTGTGCATCCTTAAAGGACAACCAGGAGCTTTCACGTCTCTTCACGGTGATTGTAATTCATTGACTGAGTCTGGGACCGGAGGGATGGGGATTCACGTTTAATGCTCGTGGAGTATCTGCCAAGGCCCAAACCCTTTTATTTATGTCCTTCAGAGAGGGCAGGGTACCCTGGAAATGTGGACATTCCTCATCCTGGCTGTGAATCCGGCCTTAATGTCAATGGATGCTTGGAAATGGCCACCTGAAGCACAGTGACAGGTACAGAAAGCAGTTTCACCAGAGGCCAGTGGCTGCATCACAGAAACAGCCTCAGACTTGTAAATAAAGATCCGAAACACTTTTGATATTTCAAACTCTCTTATCATCTGTTCATTTCCCACCTCGCGTCCGCTGGTTCAGGGATGTGGGTGACAGGGCCCATCCCAGCAGCGCAGCACCAGACGGAGATGCAGCC